GCCTGTGATGCTGGCATCCCACATAGGTGCTGGTTGGAGTCCCAGCTTTTCTACTTCTAATACAGCCTCTGCTAATGTGCCTGGGAAAGCAGCAGAAGATGGTCCAAGCCCTTGGGCCTCTGACACTCAACATGGGAGACCAAAGGAAGTTCTAGGCTCCTGACTTCAGCCTGGCCCAGTTCTGGCTGTTGTGTCCATTTGGAGAGTGAAACAGTGGATAGAAGATTCTTACGTTCTCTCTCTCTCTCCCTCCTTCCCTCTCTTCCTCTCTTCCTCCCTCCCTCTCTGCCTCCCACTCTCGTTCTCACTCTGCCTTTCAAATAAATAAATAAATCTTTTTTTTTTTTTAAAGAAAACTGACTTCCAACAAACTCCATACTTTCTCTGAATTCCCAATTTGGACAGGTGAATAACAGGTTTTTCTTTTTTACAAAATACAAACTTTTATTACTCACTAGTAAATGTACTGATCTGGTAAGTATTCTTTAGGAATGGCATTGGTTTTAGGTATGGGTTAGTAGGGGATTAGAGCTAGCTTTCAAGGGATGGCTATAAAATTTTGTGGGCCATTTGTTTACCTATTAGTAGTTTCAATCTACCATGAATGGGGCTGTTTATATCACTGCTAAAAGTCAGAATCCTCATATTCTTGTATCTTCCAAGCAGATTGTTAAATATTACCCATGAATTCTCTCAGTTTACACGATGATTTTGTTTTGTTTTGAAAATGTTCCTTCCATGATACTGGGAAAAATTTCCCAAATGCCCAAGTGTATAACACTTTTCTGTTTCCTGGACTTGAGGTTTCTGTACTTGGATGCAAAAGTGATTTAGGACTGCTATGGATTAAAAGAATATTAAGGAGCTGGCACTGTGGCTTGGTGGGTAAAGCAGCTGTCTGCAGTGCTGGCATTCCATATGGGTGCCAGTTCGACTTCTGGCTGCTCCATTTCTGATCCAGCTCTGTGCCATGGCCTGGGAAAGTAATGGAAGATGGCCCAAGTTCCTTGGGCCCCTGCACCTGCATGGAAGACCCCAGGGAGGCTCCTGGCTCCTGGCTTCAGATTGGTGAAGGACCAGCCATTGAAACCATCTGGGAGTGCACCAGTGGATGGAAGACCTCTCTCTCTCTTTCTCTCTCTTCCCCTTCCCCTCTCTCCCTCTCTCCCTCTCTCCCTCTCTCCCTCCTTCCCTCCCTCTCTCTCTCTCTCTCTTTGGCTCTGCCTTTCAAATAAATAAATATTTAAGAAATATTACAGAACTCATTTGTACTTAGAGACACAGCCAGTAATTTTTGATAATTGTATAAGGCATTTTATTAGTATTAATATCAACCAGCCCTGAACCCAGATTTGGAAAAGCACAAGTTTATAGTATGTCACTTGACTGTTGATGTATTTTGATTTTAGTATATAACTCCATTTGTCCATTGTATGGACACACTCAAAAGGCAGTTGAATGGAATGAAATGAAAGTTTAATTAAATTAAATTCCAATAAGGAATGGTGAATGATCCTGTGGCTAGAAAGAGCTGGCAATAATTTCCATCCCCATACCTAAAGTGGAGGGAGCTGTTACCAGAACCTGGTGAGAGTTGTGGCTCAGTGCTGCTTATAGAATAGCCTTCCTGTTCAAGCCACCCGAATCACTTGAGAACTTAGGCCTTTTCTACACTTGTTAAACTAGAAGCTACATTTTAATAAAGACACATGTATTTGTGTGCATATTATAGTTTGAGAAACTGTTGTAGCTGTAAAAGACAACCTGTGATTAAGAAGTTACCCTGAATATGAATAAGTCGGTAGGATATGGAGCTACAACTCAACTATAGAACATATGACTCCAGGTTTCTCACATTTTTTATTTTATTTATTTTTTCCAGGCAATAATGTTTTTAGTCTGGTGAAGGTAAAATTCTCCTGGGAAATTGACTGTTCCATGTAAAATAGGATGGTATGATCTTACTTAAACATGACAGAAATTCTAGATAACTTTTTTTTTTTAAAGAAAGATTTATTTATTTTACTTGGAACAGTTACACAGAGAGAGAAGGAGACGCAGAGAGAGAGATCTTACACTGGTTCACTCCCCAATTGACCACAACAGCCGGAGCTGCGCCAGTCCGAAGCCAGGAGCCAGGAGTTTCTTCTGGGTCTCCCACATGAGTGCAGAGGCCCAAGGACTTGGGCCATCTTCTACTGCTTGGCCAGGCCATAGCAGAGAGCTGAATAGGAAATGGAGCAGCCGGGACTCCAACTGGTGCCTATATGGGATGCTGGCACTGCAGGCGGAGGCTTTACCCACTATGCCACAGTGCTGGCTCCTAGATAACTTTGAAAGAGAGAGATTTGAAATAAAGGAAGCACTTTGCTTTTAAGAAAGAAAAAAGACAACCTGCGGAAACTGTCACCTTAAACAGAGGAAAACAGATGCTGCAGAACAGTGGTCAGCCAGGGAAGAAGTAAAGGGACTAAATATCCCAACCTTTCTTTTGTGCTGTTGTCCTATTGATCAAACCCAACCAGAAGCCTTGGGATAAAGGAGCCATTTGTTGTAGTTGAAGAAGGACAGGGAACAAAGAGAAGAAGATAGTGGAAGGGGCAAAAAAAAATTAATATACCCTATTAAAATACCTCAAATGTAGTTCTGTCACAGTATAGCATATTTTTTAAACTTTTATTTAATGAATATAAAT